CCCCTCTCTGTCTCCCCCCTCTCTCTAAATGTAAGAACTTCTCATCAGTAACAGAAACATGTGATGATGGTTCAGGAACGTTTGATTGACAGTAGTCTTCCTGGGGGCGGGGCTTTGTGTGACCTCTATAGTCGAGTTCACTTTAAAAAACATTTTGTTTATTCTGACAAAGTCAAAAGTTCCTGTGTGAAGATTTCCTACAAGAGTCTCATTCATCTGCTCTTTTCTTTTTCAGTTTTACAGACGCCATTCAAGAAACTCTGTCTTTCCAGTGTGTGTTTATTAAATTACAAAGGTTATTATTATAATTGTTATTAGCATCATTACTGGATCATACAGAGCGATCATGTACAGTTTATTCTTTCCAGAAGCCACTGGGACATGGAGACATCACAACTGTCTGGACTCTAGTCACTTTACAACATACAGAGTAATGAGGAGGAGGAGGAGGATGAAGATGAACTCATCTAGAATCACAGTTTGATGAAATGACCAAACAACTCAGTGTTTTCTCTTTTTCTTCTCCTCCATGTATCACTGTGTTTGTGTTTGGCCAAACCTGGAGCCTGAACGCCTCGCGCTGCATTCAGGGAGCGAGTTTAAACTGCACTGAAGAGGCTCGACAACAGGCGCTCAACAAAGTTCCAGAGCTCAGAGTCAAGACAAGAAGCTCTTTGGCCCCGTTTACACTTCTCACTTCAGACGTCTCGTATTGGAATAACTCCAGATGTGCATGAACATGCGTCGTTTACGCTCAGCCACATGTTCAGACCTGTGAAGAACAACATGTTAGAGAGGTGATGTTCTCCAGAACCACCTTCGCCTGTGGAACACATACCCGACCTTTAGAACATCTGTATCAACCATTCTACAGTTACTGCCAGAACGCCAGCAGTGACCACGAGGACATCTTTAGAAAACTCAACCAAAGTCGGGTGTTGTGGCCGAGTGCAAACGGTCTTTTCGGTGGGATTTGATCTTTTCGTGACATTTTTTTCCTCTTCAGTGACTCCGGTGAAAAACAAACACGTCTGTAAAAACAGACCAGACTGTTCGTTTAAAGCTCATCTTCAACTATTTATATCATAACATTTAAAACTGGACCAGAAATATTCTGGTTTTAAAGAACTTCCGATCAGATTTACTCCTCATCACCGCTGAACGCCATCGAACAACAACGCCACTTAGATTAAAAAAAAAAAATCAACCAACAGAAACTAACGTGGATAAAGGCTCAGCAGTGATGGTGAATCAGATCTTAAAACATCAACGCTCACGTTAAATAGTTTGTAGTGGCTGTGATGAGTGCGGCTGTCAGCTCTGACAGGGAATGAAGGATGAAGCATCAAAATACAGTTTCAGAGAATTAAAAAAAACAATAAAATAAAGTTTCCATCAAGTTCATAGTCACACATCAACAAGAGTTTTCATATTTAAAAGTTGGAGTTTTCTTTCATTTTGTATTTATCGTCCACTCCATCCTGTGCAGGCGGTGGCCATGTTGGACCCACAGTCGTGTTGGCGGGCGAGGACACACAGAGTTCGTATTTTACAGTAAAGTCTGTTTAAATTCTCTGTGTGTGAGTGTACGTGTTTGAGTGTGTGCGTTCAGTTGTTCTCAAACAGGGACAGAAGGTCGTCGTTGTTGTTGCTCGGGAGGTCTGGAGGTCCGAGGTACGACAGCAGCTCGTCTGGGTTCGTCAACTCTGGAAGCAACTGCAGGAACAGGCAGTGATTAATACTGGTGTTCCACAGGGCTCCACACTCGGGCCACACCTCTTTTCAATGTGCAGGCCCAACTTTAAATAAATTAAATAATCTTACGCTCTAACAAAAATACACGTCGGCTGCTTTAACCAAGTTAAGAGTTTGGATGTTGATAAAAATCTGATGCAGGTTATTGGTTCTGATTTGATTGATTGATTTGAAGTTTCAGGGTGAATTGAAGTCACATGATAAATACATGGAATATACAGGAATCTGAGTTATTACTGCTTTATGAAACAGAACTTACATCCAGAGAAGGTTCTGGAACATCCGCAGACGCCCCGAGCCCGAAGGAGCCTTCGCCTTGGAGGCGGGGGTTCTGGTTGCTACGCTGCATCATTTGGTTGCCCCCCATTTGCGAGTTGCCATGGAGACCCTGCGACTGCTGCTGGGAGAGAGGAGCACCATGGGAAGTGGAGTCCAGACGGCTTGAGACTGATATCTAAAAAGAACAAAGAGTTTAGAGGAGGAAAAGAAAACAAGGAGGTAGGAAGGAAAGGAGAGAGGGAAGGGACAGATGCAAGGAAGCAAAAGAAAAAGAGAAGGATAGACATGGGAGAGGAAGGAAAGGAGAGATGAAAAGGAAGGGCAGATGTGGGAGTAATTAAACTTCCCCCTGGACGAGTGTGAACTCAGTGACTCTCCTTACCTGTCCGGCCAGTGGGTGAGGCGGCGGTTTGTCGGGGGTGAGGAGGGCACTGGAGAGCTCTGACTGGTAGGACAGGGGGGGGGGGCCGGGGGAGGAGAAGTCCCCCCCAACTCCCGAAGTCCCAGAACCACTGAAGTCTGAGAAAGTCCCGGACTGACCTGGATAGGACGGAGCTGACGGAGACAGAGACGGATCAATACGACGTGATTCTCTTATTAACAAACTACAGATTATTTCAATTTCATGAAGACAACATACCTGGTCCGGGGTAATCAGGGGTGTTGCTGCTATTATTGCTGCCCCCTGCAGGCATTGATGGGTAGGGCATCGGAGAAGAGGCTGCGGTGGAAGAGGGGGCGGGGCCAAGCGACGCAATCATCTCCATCACGCTGGGCAGGACCATGTGACTGGGGCTGAGCGTCCTGCAACGCTTCAACACGGGGCCGTCAGACTCCTCCTTCACGTGGATGTCCGGCTTCACGGGGACCGGCTTCCAGCTGCACACCGGGTCAATGGTGATCTCCTCGTACTCCGAGCTGAAGAACAGGAGGAAGAGGAGAGTGAGAAACAAGGAAGTACGAGTCGCTCACACCGTTTTCATTCGGTAGCCGGCGTGGCGTGTGTTTTATACTTTGTAGAACGAAGACGTTTCTTACTTCTGAACGTAGATGAGTATTCCCAACATGTACTGATCCACCTCCAGACCTTCTAACAGAGCAGTTTTACTGCACACACACACACACACACACAC